TTTTTTAGTAATTCTTTCTGTTTGCCATTCTCTAACATTATTTACGATATTCARTTTGAAATGCTGATTTCTTTTGATACAGTTCAGATCAGAGTTACTCAAAGTCTTAACATTTTCGGCCCCTTTCTTGATTTGACGGAGATATGGGTATAGCAATACCAGACATTTACATCAAATATATGTATATAGGTATTATATATATCTATATATATTAACAGTCACAGTTACAGTTTACAGTTTACAGTTAGAGTCAAAGTTTCTTGGGGTTAAATCTAAGGGGGGCACCTTGGTACCTTGTGGGAGAATCTGAGGGTTTGGCAAAAACATTCATAGATTAAGCTGCTACAACTACTATGTAAATATATATAACATATATATACATAGATTCATACATATATTTAGATATTTTGTTGGCTATTTATCGAGCAATTGCGGATCTATTTGTTCTCAATAATCATCTGAAGCTGTAGAACCAGACTCCGGGCCAACTGCAGCACCGCCTGGGCATTGTGACGCTCGGCCATTTCTGAAATGAATTTAATATATAAGTATACTTATTCTGTAATCAAATAATACTGTAATCAAATCTGAATTTTACCATTGAAGAACTTGATGACATCCGTAAAGTCCATGCTGTTGGATAGAATGATGTCGCGATAGGTCTCGAGCAGCGCCAGCGCCAGGAAGAGCACAAAGTGCCCGGAGGCAATGTGCTTGGCCGCCCAGATGACCTCCCAGGTGGCGAAGACATCGTCGTAGATGAGCTCGCGCTTGAAGTCCAAGAGGAACCAGCGGTAGCAGAAATAGAAGTGCGTATAGTCCCCGTTCGAGTCCATTAGGTCGTACATCTCCGAGTCCAGTATCTGAATGAGTGAGCTGAGAGAGCGAGAGAGACAGAGCGTTAGAAAGAGAGCGCTAGTGCATGGATATAGATGGGGATAGATACCGCATGTTGGCAAAGTGCATGTCCATGGCACCGCCGCTGGGAAAGTTCTCGATCATGCGCTCCATCAGCTTGCAGAAGCAGCTGTAGCTGAGCGACTCGTCATCGAAGATGACCAGCAATGGAGCGACCAGATCGCACATGCCCTGCATGTAGCCCACATCCAGATGCTCCCACACATACGTCGATATCACATTGCGCAGCTTGTCCAGATTCTCGCTGGCAAAGTACCAATAGTTGCGATCGCAGCGCTGCACATCCTTCTCGATCCGATGCAGATTCAAGCCAAACTGCTCCAGCAACTCGCTCTGCGCGGGCAGAGATTGAATTGAATGTGATGGAATATGAGCATGAGTGAGGTAACTTACGCTGTAGACGCCACCATTGGAGCTGGCTGGCGAGGCGCAGGCTGACTTTGGCTCCTGCAGTGCATCCAGATTGGGCGCAGTGCTTCCAGCTGCCTCCAGTTGCTCGCTTAGCGCCGGCATCTGGCTACCGGCCTTGGGGCTGCGCTCGCAGCTGCCAATGTCCACGGAAGCATTTGTGATGATGACAGCGGCGGCCTGCTGTGGCCTCACGGCCTCCTCGTCGTCGGGCAGCTGTGCCTGCAGATCGTCGGCGCTGAGGAACTCGGGACTGAGCACGCTGCGCGTCTCGCCCGGCTGTGGAGCACCGCCAACGGTCTCATACGACGATGTCGTTGAGGTGGAGCGGCTGGGCTCCTTGTCCGCTATGGACTTGGCTGCAACTGCTTTGTCGGCTGTCACCGCTGATTCATTGCCCTCGGGCTGTTTCTTCTTGATGTCGTCCTGCTGCTGCTGCTCCTCCTGCTCCTGCTCGTCCTCTTCGTCGAGATCGTCGAGGCCCTCGTCCACATGGCCCGAATCGGTGCTGGTCTTCATGGCTCGTGGTATGGGCTTGACGCTGAGGAGCGCCGCACTGACGCTGGCCGACTCCTGCTGCAGCTGCTGCTGCTGCTGCCGCTGCTCGTCGTCAAACTCCAGATCGCCCGGATCGGATATATCCGAAATGTCCTCAAACACCTCGTTCTCCAGCTCCCCGCCCGCATCCAGGTCGGCGGCACGCACAGTGCGCTCATTGCCGCTGTTGCTGCCCGAGCTGAGCTTGGCCACGGCCCTGGCCGTCTTCTCCTTCTCGCGCTGCTGCACAATGGCGTCCACGGCCAGCCACTCGCTCATCGTGGTCTCATAGTAGTGCTTGCAGGTCTCGTCCTGCTTGCGGCGTTCCTCTGCGGTGGTGCCAAAGGCATAATGGCCGAGCAGGTACGGCCAGACCTCCTTGCGCAGCTCCGGCTTGACGCCCCCAAAGTAGATCAGGCGATAGAACTCGGTGGAGTCCTGCAGCATGCCATCCGCATTGAGCAGCTCCCAGCGCTCCTTGGTGAGACCCTCCTCGTCGGCTTTCACTTTCGGAGAGAGAGAGTGAGAGAGGTAGAGAGAGAAAGGTAGATAGAGAGAGAAACAATTTGAAATCCTTTGGGTCTAACTCACTCTCTGGGGTGATCCGTCCGTGAACCAGACCCGATAGATGCGTCCGCACCGTGGATAGATGGCGACAGTAGGCCAGCCAGCCGTAGAAGGCGCGCGAGATGATCTGGCGACGCATCGTGGAGCAGACCATCTCGATGCTGGCGTTCTGATTGTGCTGCTGTAACAGGGGCGACTCCATCGGGTACTGATCGATGGACAGGCTCTTGTTGGAGCAGTCGCTGCTGCCGGTCGTGGAGCAGCTGCTCAATTGGGCGCGCCTCGGCGTGCTGCGCACAAAGTCCAGGATGGAGTGCGTAGCAGCTGCAGCAAGTGCAAGGAATGAGAGATGTAAGGAGGAAGCAAACGGGAGGAACTTGAGCCTTGGACCTACCGAACTCTTCGTGGCGACTCTTGCTGACTATGCGAAAGACATAATCAATGGGCGTCTCGTCCACCGACTCCATGACCGATGGCAGGATGCGACGCCGCATGCTCTTGGGCCATAGAAACATTTTGCCAATGCCGCGCTGCGACCAGAGCGGCGGATCGAGCTGGCCGTGCGGCAGCAGACCCGTCTCCAGGCACGAGAGGAACTGCTGCATGTGCCCGCCCTCCGGGAAGTGTATGGGCGGCCGCTGTACGCCGTCCTGGCCGACCAGGATGACGGTGCCGCCGCTGTCCTCGCCACGGCTCTGATGACAGTGCACATAGACGATCTCGTCCACATTGATGTTGAGGGCGTAGGCCCAGTAGATCTCCTTGTCGATGTCCTCCTCCTCGGCGTCGTTGTAGCCGTTCATCAGCTGATTCGGCGTCCATTTGATGGTCAGCGTTTGGATGTGCTGATGCAGGCTCAGGTAGCCCGGCATCAGCTCCGGCACATCCTTCGGCTGTACGTGCACGTTGTTCTTGCCGTAGAGCAGCGTGGCCTTGGCATTCTGATGCAGTGACTCCACATAGTCCTTGGCCACGGTGGCCGAGGCGATCGACTTGAACGAGCAGCTGCTGGCATCATCCGAGCTGGTGTTCAAGCTCCGCTTGAAGTTGATAATCGCCGGACGCGAACAGGTGGACGAGGAGCGGCGACAGCTGATCCGATGGCGTTGCAACTGAAAAGGTATTGACATAAATGAATATAGTATCAGAAGATTCAGAGTGGAGCTATAGTGGCCTACCAGCTCATCGGCATGCGGATCGGTCCAGTAGTGATCCGCCGTTTTGGCACGCGTAAAGTCCAGGGCACACGGACCCACCAGCAGCGAGCTGAGTATGGAGCCGTAGTCCGGATCAGCGACCAGCGCATCACGATCGTAATAGCTCTGGGCATTGCTCACCAGATACTCGATGATCTTGGTCAGGCGCTTCTCGTACAGGGCCAAGCGTATCCAGAGATATCTGCAAGCAGAAGCAGGTGAGCAAACTCTAGTCGGATTGCCCGACTAGCAGATACCCTGAAAAGCCATTGATCTGGGTTTTTTAATATGTATATATATACCGATTTGCGATTATTAAAGCTAACGAGGTCGAACCCTGCTTGCTAATTGGTTAAACGTTTTACTTAATAACTTCTGTATTACTTACTAGATTTTAATGACACTTTCAGCAAATAAACTATATATTCCATTAACTAACTGTCAATTTTGATAACATACAAGCTCATTCACATATGGGCTATATTCACAATTGAACTTCAATTTGGTAAATTTGCTCAATTTGGAGCTAGTAACCTAAATATAAACAAAAATCGAAATTGTATAATTYACACATAAATCGCAATGCAAAACTTGAAAACTTTAGCTATCTATAGAGCGCATACATATGTAAGTGTCAAGCTCTTATAGATTCTGAAATCGTCAGACATATGGACAGGCAGAACAGAGTTAAATAAACTCAGCTCGTCGTTATGATAGAGAATATTTTTATATATATGGGATCTGTCCAAACATTTTGCGCTAATTGGCCGCGATCAATGGGGTCAGGGTATAAAAATAATACTCTTAGATAGATGGAGTGTGAGGAAGAGGGAGGAAAGGAGACGGAGAGATACAGAGAGAGAGAGAGAGAGAGAGAGGAAGCAAAAGTGCGAGACACAGAGAGAGACAGACACATAGATACAGAGAGAGAGGAGGGGAGAGTGAGAGACAGATAGATATAGAGAGCGAGAGAGGAAGGAAGAGTGAGAGACAGATAGATATAGACAGAGAGAGAGAGAGAGAGAGTATTGCTACTGTTACTCACTTCATGGTGACCAGAGACATGCTGGTGCTGGCGCTGACCGAGACCGATGTCGTCACCGAGGCCGACGTGGAGCCGGATGCCGTTGATGTGGTGGCATTGCTGGTCGACATGGAGTTGCTGCTGCTCTTCTTGAGCATGGGCGGTCGATTGAAGCTGTCGCTGCTGGAGGACGAACGCTTGTTGGGATCGCTGGCCTCGATCTCCTGGACCAGCTTGCTAATGTGCTCCGCCTCGGCGCAGGTTTTGGCGATCTTGTGGAGCAGCGCCGTCGTCGACGACGTCTTGAACAGGCCGAGCGCCCGACGGCGCAGACCCTGGCTGAGGCAGGCCTCCACAGCGGCGCAGAGCGATGTCACCGAGCTGCTGTCCTCGTGCACGTACTTCTTGGTGACCGCCTCCTCCATGAGCTGTTTGACCTCCTTCTTGACGCTCGCAATGAGCCGCTCCTTGAAGTCCATGCCATCTGTGAATGCCAGCAGGACAAAAGAGTCAACATTAACGTTCGACGACCAACTGTGCCAGCCACGCGAATCTCATAAAAGTAAACCCCGTGGGGCCTTAAAGCGAAATCACAGCCATGACGCCTCTAGCCACACGCCCAAGCGCACATATCCACCAACCTCCCTCCCACTTGTCCAATGTCGCTTTGAAACTCAATATGTTCAACATGTGTCGACGGCTCTGGCGCTGGCGCTGGCGCTGGCTCTGGCTCTGGCTCTGTCCCTGGACGTCACCCAAAACACCCAACGTTAAATTAATACTGACGACCCGTGCGCCCAGCCTCTGGGCAGACTATGGCCACACCTTACCAGCGCCTCGCCATGCCATGCCACGGCCGTTCCTGGATGGCATCCATCCAATGCCCGGCAAATGCTAATGGCATTTGCACTCAAAATTCATGATGACTTCCGGCTACGTATAATTTAATTTTCATTAATTGCTTTCCATTTTCGCCCCACACCACTGAGCCTGAGCCACCACGCCACGCCCACGCCAACCCAAACTACCAACTGCAAATGTCAAAGCAATCTGTCCAAAGTTACTCAAAGTTATTGTGTTTGCAGTTGGATTCCGCAAAGGCCAAAGTTTATTAGTTGCACGAAAAAACAAAAACCAAAATTTACAAATGTGACAGCGAAAATATTTTCAAATTCCCTTGAATTTGAAAAGTTTTCTCTAATTAGCAGAGTTCGCCGCACGGCGATGCGGATGCCAGGAACCCTATTTAAGCAGGTTTGTTTGAGGGATTTGACATTTCAAATTGTGTATCAAAATCAGAAATGTCTGTCACATCCATATTAGATTATCTAACATCTATACAATTTTAATGAAATTAACATTTTTTCATTTGATTTTTCTCTTTTAATTTTATTATTTTTTTTATTATTTTATTTAAACAACAAATTTGTTGTTGTATTTTGAATATTACAAAATTTAATATAAGGAATTAAAAAGAAATAAAT